CTTCGCCAGAAAAGAAAGACGGCTGCAAAAGAACAAACCGACTACCAGGACCAAAAGAACAGAAACCCCTGCGCCAGAGAGCATGAAGCTCCCAGACCCAATCCCCCAGAGGCCAATGCCAACAGGAAAAAGAGCCTTGGAAAGACAATCTTAAACTGAAGGGGCCACAACAAACTGAGGGAAGGGGGGGGAGAGAGATAAGAGAGAACCTTGTCCAAGAACCAGGATGGCTCAGGCGGCGCATGAGCAGGCCGGAGGTGAAACAATGCCCGAGACAGCTTGCGAAACGGCGTAGAAGTACCATCAATGCTGAAAGCAAGCTGCAGCGGCTCCGCCAGCGCCGCACGATACAAGACAACAGTATCTGTCATAAGATAATGGTCCTGAAACAGCCACAAGAGAAAGGACAAGGCCACCTTAACAGAAAGCGAAGTATACCTACGAAGAGACAAAAAAAATGTAAGGATCGTCAGGAAACTTCATACTACTGCTGAGACGAAGCATGCAGGTAGGACACCACTAACAAAGCCACCTGATCACCATACAGATGGTGATAGATTCGAGTCAAAAATACCATACACGAAGACTCGAGAAGAGCGAACTAGCCACGTAACGGACCAGACCGATCATCTGAAAAAGGCAGAGCCGCGGGAAAACGCCTGGGTTCGGACACTGAGCAAGCAGCGCCTGAAACCAAGGCTGGGCCGGCCACCAAAGAGCCAAGAGAACTACTTTCTCCTGGCAAGTCTCCAAGCGAGCAAGTACCTTTTTTTTTTTTTTTTTTTTTTTTTGAGATATATACAAGTGTTGTTACATTCTTGTACAGCCACTAGTACGCGTAGCGTTTCGGGCAGGTCCCTGGAATACGATCCCCTGCCGCGAAGAATCGTTTTTTCATCCAAGTACACATTTTACTGTTGCGTTAAACAGAGGCTACAGTTAAGGAATTGCGCCCAGTAAATCCTCCCCGGCCAGGATACGAACCCATGACATAGCGCTCGCGGAACGCCAGGCGAGTGTCTTACCACTACACCACGGAGACTGTTAAAAAATGACTGTTACCTGAGGTAACAGCAGAACCAGGGGGAAAAAGGTAACCCCACCTCGACCAGTCTTGCCGAAAAGCATTGACTCCGACGGCCTCACAGTCAGGGAAAGGCGCCACATATACCAAGAGAAGCCTTGACCACGCAAACGCAAAGAGGAACACCTCTGGGAGCCCGTATGTCTGGCAGAGCCAACTGAATGAGTTGGGGTCGACCATCCATTCCGAGGACAGGGGAATGAACCGAGACAGGCTTTCCGCCAGGACAGCCAAACCCCGAGAACTCCGCAGACAAGTCACCTAAAGCAACCAGCCCCAAAAAGCCAAGGACTGCATCGAACCCCCTCGGTTCAGGCAATGAACCACCAGGAAAGCAGTCCAAATGGAGCCTGATCGTCAATCCGCGAGCGACCCGAGCCCTCTGAAGCGACATCCACACTGCCTCGAACTCCCGCACCGTGCTGTGGGCCCGACGGAAGGACGGACCCCACTGCCATCCCTGGCCAGCTTGGCAAGCATTGGTCACAAAGCCCAAGCCAAGAGACAACACATCTGTGAACACATCGAGTGAGGGCTCGGGTAGGCACCAAGGCACTGAACCCCGAAATAATCCGAAGAAGAACCCAGTGACACAACAGCCAAACCCAGCGGTTGCAAGAGAGGCAGAAGGGACGTCCCTGAAGGAAGCAGAACAACCGATGAAGCCAAACCTGACCCGGCAGGTAGACCATCATGGCAAAGTTCAGGCTTCCACACAAACACTCGAGCAATCGCCGAGTAAACCGGGAGACCCCCAGAAACAAGCAAGGCGGGAGCCCAACCAAAGCAGAGACTCCAGAGGGAGAAACAAGGAAGCAGTCCGAGTCCCACACAAGACTCAACCAAGTCTGAACCTGAGAGGGAACCAGATGGGGCTTCCGCCAATCCACCAAGAACCCGAACCCAGTGAGCTGGGTTCGTCCGGCTCCAAGAGAAGACGGACCTGGGACAGAATAGTCATCCAATAGTAGGGGCCATAATCCCATGGGTTAAGACGGGACAAGTCCAGAATGAACCGGAGGTTCACAGAGTACTGTTTCGGGACCGGAAACAGGCGGGAAACCCACACGAGGGACGAGGTTGTATCGACCACCCCCAAGCAAACCCACTCCTAGATGACCCGACAGAGCGCAGGAAAAAGAGGCCTGCTCTGTCAGCCTCGAATTCCCCGAAGGAGGACGAGCCACCCAACGCAGGCCGCACAAAACGATTCGAAAAACACGCAAATCATGAGATCAGGTGCGAGCAAATAGAGCAAGCCTCCCCCATCACCCCGTCAATGGGACAAACCGCAAAAGGGCCGACGCACCTTCTGAGCACTTAAACGGCGCACAAGGCAATACTCGCGCTGAACAGAAACAGGCGGCCCTGAAGGCTGTGCCGGCGTTGAATCTGACACCACTGACCTACCACGACGGAAATAACCCTGAGCCCAGACATGACCCCGCCGGGAAGGCCCACTACGAGCCCCACCCCCCAGAAGAGGACCAACAAATCTGACATAGGACGGCAACTATCTGAAGATGCCTGCAGATACTGCACAACCACAGACTCCGCAAACAGCAATGTTCAAAAAGGCGTCTAAAAGCAAGGGCTCAAGAATTCTAAGGAAAAGGCAAGCACCGTCTGCCAACATGCACGTCGAGAAGCAAAAACCCCGAAACCACATCCCGCAGGAGCGGCACGAACAGCTTTAAGAATGCAGATGACGCACACACCGCCAAGGGCAACGCACTAAACCCAGAGACGGCCCCAAGCATCTTCACGTGCACCACAAGCCAGTCCGAGGAGGGAAAAGAAATGCAGGGCTGAAGCCAGCAGGCCACGCGTATGCAAATCCTCCACAACCAACGCAGCCGAAAGGGAAGGCACCTGCACATGAAGCTGCATCACACCAACATCCCGCAGAAGGGCAGGAGCGAACAAGCATGCATCGAGACGCTCAAATTTGCCCCCAGGATAACCTGCACTGCCGTTTGAGCATCCCTCCACTCAAGCGTGCGGGATCGACAGAATGTATGCTATGCCACTAAAGAGAATAGAGGGCAGTCTGCTAACAAGGGCAACTCTGGAACTTCATAATGAACCCAGTACAGACACGAAGATCTATACACAAAGGAACATGGATCCATCACGAAAGCATAATCCGGGGCGCGCAAGAGGTAAGGCGCAAGAGCTTCCCATGCCATGTTGGATGGGATGCAGGAAGTTGAAAACCTCCGGAAGGATGGAACCAAAGAATGTCGGGGTCACGGAACTGAACCCAGGGAAGGGTAGATGTCTAATCTAATTCGTACGGGGAGGGAATGAAAGAGAACCCCACTCCTTGTAACACCAAGCGCTGCACCGAGGATACAAAAACCTAAGCGGGATCCAACAGGGCCCAAGGCATCCCCAAGTTAACCCCTCCCCCGCGGGAACCTCACCCCAAGGACCTGGGGCCGAGCCATCCTCCAAACCCTCCTGCCTCTAAAGAAAAGGCAGGAGCGGCCGAAAAAGCAGGAACGAAAGGGGCCCACTAGTCAGACCGAGAAGCACCGGCTGGAGGACCAGGCTCAAATGCCTCCGCCGCCACCCCAGAATGGGACTCCCGAGACCGCCCAAGTCTCAACACCAACTAGACCCTGCCCCGACTCTGAAACAGATGTTTCGGAGCCGGAAGCAAAGGTGGAGGGGGGGGGACCAGATGCACAACAGAAGGGAAAAGGACATGGAGGGGCAGACAGAACCAAACCCTTGCAGGGTTTCCCCAAGACCCTTAGCCTTGGTAACTCGCTAAGGGAAGCCCAGGCAGGATACTGCGAACTGACACCCAAGGCTACCAAGCAAACTTCTAAAAGCTGAACACCCCGGGGCGCATCCACTCACGGGGGCCTAGTAGGGGGGGGGGGCCTAGCAGGGGGGGGGGCCTAGCAGGGGGGGGGTACCACCAAGAACACAGATGGATATATATACCAGAATTATAGATAGGGGGCAACCAACCAAAGGCAGACCTCCTCCCCACCAGGCAGGAAAACAAAAAGAAAAGAAAAACCTTGCAAGAGGACAACGTACCCAGGCTGAACAGAGCCAGCCCCTATAATCAGTGATAACTAGCTGTGCAGTACCCCGCACCCCTTACCAGTGACAAAAACTACCACCTACTCAGAGGCAAACAAGGGCAACAAAAACCCCAGCTGACTCCAAGGGCAGCCAAGTACCAAGCAGTAAAAGACACAGTGGAGGTAGATCCCAAGGTAACTTGTCGGAGGTGGCCCCAAGCCCCAAGGGCAGTACTTACAGGGCACCTAGGGAAGCAAACCCTAGGTGCATGCAGGCCGAGTACCGAAGAATATAACTCCTGGCTCATACACCACCAGTAGAGACAGTCCATGCCACAAGGCACAAACAAACAAAATCTGGAGCCAAAAGTACATGACCTCGCCAGTATCACATCAGCCAAGAACTGAAGGGTGGATCGCCGGCACGAGGGTCTAGGGCTCCTCCTTCTCCCTCTCGGGGAGGGAGGTGGCTGTGCAGACAGCAGCGCGCTAACGTGATAACGTCATGCACATTTGTTAATTTCGTTTGGAGAGTTTTGTCCACTCGTTCGGCTTTCGATAGCAATATTTTCACCAAAATAGGGGTTTGTTTTGGGGCGCCTACCTTTCTGGGTGCCAGACCCGGTCGATGGCAGACATAGAATGCTCCCAACCACACAGGGGGTATCTATAGGCCATTGTTCCTTGTGCCTCTCTGAGGGGGCCAGGTTCTGGCTCATGGTCCCCGTAGGCAAGAACTCCATGCATATGCCAGAAAGTTAATATATCTGATTGAATCTGACTGATGCCAGATAGCTAATACATTCATATCAGCCTGGATAGCTCCGGGAAGCCGACAGGGCTTCCCCCCAGAAAACACAATGAAAGTGTCTTACTTTATCATACACTGCAATTTGTTCTGCCCGTTTCTTAGCATGCTCCTGCTGACTGACTGTGACCTGGGAATCATGTGCCACCAAAGTCAAGAGGTCAATGGCTGGTAAAACTGGCCATTTCCTGAAAGATATTAAAAAACAAAATTTAAACCAAATGATAAAATACATATATCAAGGTCATTAGAAACCACATTCCCATGACAAAGGTATAAACCACCTGCCCCGTCAAATTTGTGGCATGGTATAAACCACCCATCATATGTGGCTCTCGTTCAGCTGCCTTCACCACTTCCCACTCATGCTTTACTGAGCCAGCTTTCACATGTGATGCATTTTTAGATACATCCACCACTCCCAACTTTATCATTATTATTCCTTACCTAATGCTCCCTTTCTGCACCCCAAGTAACTTTCGTTCAGTATCTATAACCTCAACAACATATTTACCTGTGAAATTCCATAACAATTTTATACCGCATATCACTGTCTTTTATTCGGCTGGCATACATCCATGGGGCAGGGTCAGCTAAAAAAATAAAAAAAAGATAGTGAAAGCACTCTGCTGTAGATTACAACACAGTATAATTCACTATTTACCAAACTCTCAGTATATAATGTCTAATAAATACAAAATGAGACTTGAAAGGGGGTCATCTAATATATAATTTTTGTATACCTGTAGAATTTGTTTACCTTCAGAATCTGTTTCTTGTACCAGGAATACCAAAAGATGATCCAGAAGTCTTTTAACATCAGGATGCTTCTCCATAGTACTTGAAGAGAGCGCTTGCAGTCCTGTCACCAACACTGTCACATGTTGGAGCAGCCGAGAGGAATACTCCTTGGTAATGGCACCACTTCCTAGCAGATCATCAGCAAGGTCCCAAATGATAGAAACCTCTAGTTCTTGCGAGAGCGCTAATGTCACTTTATTACCCCCAAATATTCTTGCCAATGTTTTGTGTCTGTCGACTGAAAACAGGTTTCTAATGGGCCGAAAAACTTTAGTTTCTTCAGCAGGCGGTTTGACTCCCATTGAGGGTGGATACAAAATATTAAGCCATGTGTCTGCAGCATCATCAGTCCAAGCCTGAATATTCATCTTATGCATTTCTGCAGTACTATTAAATGCTTGTACAATAAAAGCTAAAAGAGGGCACTGTTTTCGCAGATGAGTCAGAACAGCATATGGGACTTTAACGGGTAACCAAGGCAAATCGTCTGACGGTGCAGGCAAGCTACTCACTTCAGGTATGTCAAATACTGTGCTCTCAGACTTCTCATCAAATGACTCTATGAACTCCAGAACTATACCCTTCTCCTCAGTTCTATCAAAAACATTTATATCGCGCTTATGTTTTTTTGAAAATTCAGATTCCAGTCTCTTCAGTGTAGTAACGAGTTCTTCGGGAGCATTTTCCTGCAGTGAACGAATACAACCACGAAGATCATGTGAATGGTGAGCCAAGTAATTCAGAAATGTCCTGGAAGCTAATATATTGACCTTTTTATGCCCAGCATTATCACTAGACTCCTGGCTCGGATCCAAATTTTTATGCAGCCTCCTCCCATCTTGGATCACAAGAAACAGCTTCAAGTGCTCATGTAATGCCACATCAATCTGCTCCTCCATTCTATCTGCATATAGTACTTGTACACGAGGAGAGACAGGTGTCCCCTGTGTGATGCAATAACTGACTTTGGATGGTAAATTTATCAAGAGCTCTGAATTCTGAAGCAAGACGGCCCTTTTACAAGTCTGCTCTCTACTGTAAATCAAATCACTCTCACACATGCTTATTTTGAATTCTGCATCATTCTGAATTAAGATACTGGAAAGTGGATTTTGAAGTGGAAGTATATTATAGAGAACATCATATAAAGAAAGAAATCCAAGCTGACCAACTACATACCCAAGTCGCTTCATTGCCATTATACGTTCAAGTTGATGTTTTGAGAACAACCCTCTTGATTTGGATGTTACTTTATCACATGGATACAATATATGATTAAGTATACCAGCATGAATGTACATTAGGTTAGCCAAATTAATAAAAAATACAATAGCTTCATTACCAGGCACCATTTTGTCAAAAGCTACAGCAGCAAGATTAGATGCATCTTTAAGTGCCATTTGAACATCTACTGATGAAAGAGCATTTGGAGCTGTGTCATCATTTAATATCACAGCTTTATGGTTAGCCTTAGATGTTAGTGCAACAGCCTGAATGGTTTCATGAAGGCCAACTAAAATTGCTGTGAGGATGTCCCGGACAACAACTTCCCCATATACACCTGCCCGAGTGTGCATTGCACTACCATTCATTATGACTCGCTCTTGCAACACTTGGAACCCAAGCTTCTCAGCTTTGTTCTTTTCAGTACCATACATTATTCTCCTACATAAATTTCCTTTGGGTATTTTAAACTTTGGACAGCAGTACTGGAGAATCATTGTTGTTAAATTCAGTTTCATTCTTGATGCTATTGGCTCTAATTTGACTGGGTCAACACCTTTCTGAAACATCAGAGAACCCAGAATATGAACAGGTCTTTGCGTCAAAAGACAGAAATAGTTACCTCTAGTTTTTTGCAAACGTTGCTCTGCATGTTGAGTAACCATAGCTGATAAAAGTTGCAGATACTGATAAAAAGACCTAAGAAATGCTCCCATCTTACCGTTTAATTTATCTCGAACACAACTTAAATGAAAATGAGGAGCTTCTTCATTCAACACATGAAGCAACATTTTGTACGAGAGATGCATTTGGGTCATTTGAGTCTTGCTCCAAACATTTGAAGCCTCTTGGCTTTTTGGTATATTGCATATGACCAAAGCTTCTTGGGCTGATGAAATACTTGCAATAACCTTGGACCAACCTTGAATGTAATTCTTTAAATCAGTATCTTTTAAAGGAAGAAATGTAACCAATAAGGAATATGGTGTTGCAGAGAGGGAAGACAAATGAAAAGGAATATTTTCCGAGATGTCTCCGCTGCCAGTTGCCAGTTTGTCTTCATTTTCCGATTGGCTCATCTGAATAATAGTGCTACAAGTAGATCCCATCTGCTGCAATAATGGAACATAGCCCTGTATACCTCCATGTGTTTCTTTTTGCATAACATGGATAGAATTATAAGCCAGTTGTCTTTGGAGAGCCTGCTCTATGAGGTATGTGGCTGTGGTCTGACTTACATCCACTGTCAGAGCCAGATCTGATAATACTAGGGCTTGTGGCGTCAAGAATGATGCCATTACAGAACAGCCAGTCTCTGCAGCAGCTTCTGGCATTCCTTTCGGAATGGGAGGTGGAGAAGAGGTTATTAAATCATATATCAGATTAGTTGCCCCTACTTGTGCAGAGCCTTCACGAGCAAGCATTCCAATATTTTGGAGCATATTCTTTGAATTACCACCTGCCTGCATCATTCTCGCCTCCTTTAATCGTCCAGACCTTTGATTTGCAGTTGACAATTTAGGCCTTAACTCATTAAGACGCATTGCTAAACAAGCCTCGCGCTTCTCTGTGGTAGTGTCTGAAATTCGATATGTCTGGAATATCTGATTTATCCTTTCCACATTACCATTTGTCAATGCTAGTGTGATAAGGCTTGGTGTAGGAGCAAATAAAAAATTTAGAATACTTTTATATTCCGATGAGCCTCCTCCAACCTCTACTGGATCTTTGTCTTTTGCAGGCCTCTTTTTGCCCCCTTGAGAGGAACCCATTTCTTTAGACGAGCTGGAAGGTTTTTCATACCTCATACAGTTAGTTGTATTAGAGAGAAGTGTTCCATCTAAAAACTCATTAAATACATCAGAAGAGGCAAATGTATGAGTACTAGGAGTCATTATCTGCAATCGCCACAAGCCTTCATTGACACAACGTGAGAGGTAGTTGGAGCGATTCTGAAAAGATTGTTTTGAGGAACTCCCTAGAAGTTGAGACTGCTGGGCACTTTCTGCAAATGACCTAGCAGAGAGTGTTAGAATAGTATCCCGGAGAAGTAACAGTATATCCCATGCTACTAAAGCATTTATTATGTATCCTGTGCGGGGTAGTTCACTCAAGCTAGACGTAGTACTTTTCCCACTCATAGCACAGCTGCTTTGGGGATTACCCGCTTGGCCACTCTGTGAACCCTGTTGATACGTGGCCCACGTCACCTGTTCAGATGCTGCCGATATACATGATGATATAGACTGGGTTATGTTTGCTGGAGTGTCAGTAGCATGAAGCAAGTTTTTCTCCTTGCAGTCTCTTGAAGCAGAGACGCTTTGCCCATCATCTCCTGATACACTGCTAATGTTAGATGCTTTGCTTGAATAATGAGCTCCTTCTACTAAAAAATTATCATCTATCACAACATAATCAGAAAAATTTAGTTCTTTATTTTTTTTGGTATCTCCATCTTTATCTGGTGTGCCAAGAGAAGTAGAGTTTGACTTCCTAGGTGAATTAGGTCTTTGGGAAGTTGTAGTTTGCGAAGTACTTGCTAAACTGTCTACATCAGTTTGACGAGAGACATAAGATCGCTCAAAGTCCCCTTCCTCCCCGCCAGACTCGCTCTGACCTTCATCACTCAAATCACTATGTTTCACAAATATTGTCGAATATATGTTTTCCATCACTTCTAATCTGTACTCAAGAGGCTGCAAATCATTAAGCATTCTTTTGACACATTCTAGCTTTCCTGCAATGTTCTTCTTATAAAATGATTCATGGCTTTGTCGATCATGAAAGCTATTGACTACGTTGCCTTCTCTCTTACCCACCCACAATCTCCCTCTTGCTTGCCAGCCAGCTACAATATTATCTAACTGCATACCAGCACCAATCACCTCAAACACTTGATACAATATACAAAAAGCTATGTAAGTATCTTTGCAAGAAGAACTTAAGTTTCCACTAGAATCTCTGACCATACAATGTTCCTTAATGATTTGTAACACATCATCTGGAACTAAGGTATTCATTGGAAGTGATTTGTGAAGAGCATAGAGGGGTGAGTGGTCTCTCATTAGCTGCAAGAGGGGCAACGCCTTTATCCTACTCTTACGAGCAAGGCACCAGCGAACAAAGCTCATGTCCCGGCTGAGGTCACTACACACCTTTATAAGCAATGGATCAACATGTTCTGAATGTTTCTCCCAAACTTCTGCTACACATGTAGGATCCTCCACTCTGTCATGAGATTTTGACAATGCTTGAATAAATAGCATAGGCCACAAAGGCATTAACCAATGATATTCTGGATTTGTTTCTATCTCCAGCATGCCGGCAACTTGTTTATTCGCTAACGTTTTGTAGAATATTTGCAGGATATGTCTTGAATTTTTAGCACAGATAAGAAATATTTCTCTTATATCAGAGGAGCTGGGTGACAACAGACTTTGAAAATGTTCAAATTTCTTGGTTCGAGACTTGCTAAGGAGGTACTCATTTTCCTTATTACAAAACAAATTTAAGAACTCCTTAGAACTCGTTAGAAGGGAAACATGTATTTTGTGTGGAAGCAATAAGTCTCTCTCATAACAAAGTCTAATCATTCTAGGAAACAATTCACTTAAGGCAGCAAGATCAACATCACAAGAGTGGGAGAGTAACCTGTAAAAGAGCTCTTCGTGTCTTAATTTCTCCAAATTTGTTGTCAGTTTTCTTTCTTGAAGTCTTGATACTTCTATGGATTCAAAGGTTTTCTGGTTAGCTTTTGCCTTAGGACTTAGCATAGGTGACAAGCTCTTTTGCTGTCTCTTTACTAAGACCAAATATTCCTCCTCTTCCTTAAGCAACTTCTCATCTAGGTTCTCAACTCTTCGTAAACAGTGATCCAAGCACTCGATGAAAAGTTTTTTCAGGTTACTGCAATCTTCTGAAAAACAGCCAGCTTCTTGGTACTCTCTCCTGGTCTTCGTTTCCTCACTTTGAGTGACTTCAATGGACGACAAGGCATTCTGCTCTGCATCTTTCGTAGTTTTAATATCCTTGCTTCTGGCCACCAGCTGATGAAATATGCATGCTGCTTCTTGTGGGTGAGCCAACAGCTTCTCTTTGAGAGAGGTGCAAGCATCAGAGGATAGGAAGAGATGACACTCAGAAGTAAGACAGCCATCTTGACCAAGGTAGGCACTCAGTTCCTGGAAACAGAATGCTTCATTACCTATCAATAGAAAGTACAGTATGTATAAACAAAAATAAAAACAAAATCTCAAATATCACCCGCACACTTTGCATATTTTGCATTAAAAAAGTTCCTATATATTCACCTGGCAAATATTAAAGAATAAAAACCATGAGCCTGTTAGCAAGATCAAACTTAGCTGCCTAGATTCTGCAGATAACAACCGAGACGTATGAAACACTTTGAGGACAGCTTCATCATCATCCACTAAATGAACAATAAACTGTACCCACAAGGTAAATATGCAGTCATTAAATTCATATTGCTTGGGGATGTGTGAACAGAATCAACTCCACCCACTAGAAAATGGCTTCTAGTCTCAAACCTGTGGGTTAACAATTTTAAATAAGAGCAGGAAGATAACATCCTTCCTGCTCTCTTGTCTAACTTTTGTGTAGATAACAGACTGCCTAAGACGTGAAGGAAGAGGCCGAGGTAACTTGGACTGAATGTGCCCACCTCCTGTCCCCTCCCCATCCTGTTCATGCAGGTCGGAGTTCAATCCCCGACCATCCAAGTGGTTGGGCACCATTCCAATCCCCTGTCCCATCCCAAATCATTATCCTGATCCCCTTCCAGGTGCTATAAAGTCGTAATGGCTTGGTGCTTTCCCCTGATAATTTCCTCCCCTCCTTCCCTATCCTGTTCCTCCACACCAAAACTAATTTTCTGAAAAATCTCTATTCTGCTATTTACCCTGCTTGAATCAGTCCACCAAAGTCTGAGAACTCCATCAACAACATTTGCATTGATGCAAGCTCATGCACTTCAACATTTGTATTGATACAAGTTCATACTAGCTTTGCCTTCATACCCAAGAAGGACCCATGAAGTGATTAGGATGAGGAAATGCATCAACCAAAAGCTTGAACATTTGTGTTACTGTAAGTATCTCTAATGATTCTCTGAGTTAATAACCCCCTGTAATTATCAACAAGTCTAAATTCATTTTCATTAACATACAGTAGTTATAAAAAATAATAAGGCTATGTCCCTGACAGTCTCCTCACGGTCAGGACTATTACTAGCATAATTATGTAATTGGAGAGTGGTGGCAACAGTAACTATAATTAGTGGCTTTAATTACATTGTAAGAGTTATTTTGAGCACCTGGTTCCTCTCACTCCATGACTCAACCTGTGTGTCCACTGCATGGGTGCACCTACCAGGTGCTTCATGTTGCACAATTTCAAGGTAAGGATGTTTATTAAGGTGAATAATTGGGCAAGCTAAGATCGACTTCACTGTTAGTGGTCAGCGTTATTTACATTTACTCACATTACAAATGGTGACTTGGTGTTGCGTTACAAATGGTAGCAGTGATGTTCACTTTTCTAGTGACTTTTATCAGTCATTACACTGAGAGGAGACCTATGAGACTGACACACATGTGTTTTCTACCAATCCTCCAGGAACTGTCCCTGAAAACATGATCTTAAGTGCATAGGTGACAACCCAAGAGCATTCCCACCACTTTGCATATTTTGTGTTCGAGCCTTATATATAAGTGTGCCGCTTCACAAACAGCCAACTTGGAAGGTTGATCAAGGAGGGGGTGGCCTGTTACAGCATATGGTAAAAACACCAAGACTCCCAAAAACAATGTGATGGTAGAAAACTGTTCTTATATAATAATAATAATAATAATAATAATAATAATAATAATAATAATAATAATAATAAAAGATTTATTTAGGTTAAAGAACATGCATACAAAATGAGTTACAAGCAGAATGTTGGATTTCCAGATAGCTAGTATACTATTATATGCTAGTATAAATGATCCTAAAAAGGTGGTAAAAACTTCAGATGAAACTCAGGAGATGGTCTACAGCATCACAGATTGATGCTAAAAGCCCAACAATCCAATCAAAAGGGGACAGAGGTCAGTACCTAATTACCCAGCCAAAATGCAACCTCAGGGACCACCTAGATTAGTACCAGGATTGAGAGGGTTCAGCTATGAGGACAGGTTAAGAAAACTCAGCCTAACAACCAACCTTAAAGAAGAGAAGAAAAAGTGGATATGATCACAACATACAAGATACTGATGGGAATAGACAATGTAGACAAGGCAGTCTATTTGAAATGAAAGGAGGCAAGACAAAGGAACATCTGTTGACGAGGAAAATACGAATGAGTCACAGAGATGTATGGATATTCTCGTAACCTGTATGGATGGTCAGCAAATGGAATGTGTTGAAGGAACAAATTGTTGAAGTCACTTCCATCCGAAAGATGTAATTAGAACACTAGGTGTAAGTACTGTACCTAGCTCTCACTTTCCTGGCAGTCAGTAATAGATAAGCACTGACAGGTAATCACTAATCAAATACACCTGTGTGTAGAAGTGAGCTAGTCTGGAGACCTACTGGCCTATTGTAATGCATAAATACTCCCCCAAGGAGTCTGCAGGGTGTGTAACAGACTCTCAAGTAATCAAAATCCAAAACCTAGTAAATTTAGTAACCAAAATCCCTTAATGCTAACCCAAGCCAGCATACTTGGGTCTGAAGATCAAGACGTAGCTTGCCTCTCAGTGGTCCTGCCACCTGATATGGGTCATGACTATCAGTTTATTTTCATCTGTAGTTAGATTAGTAAGAGCTGTCCATAGCTGAAACCACACTATACCTCTGAAGGTAGCAGAAATATGAAGCTCAGCAAAGAACATTTATCAGAACAAAGAAAAATTAAGAAAGCCTCTAAAAATATATGAGAGGATTATTGCGTACAGAGCAAGTAATTATCAAGAGAAGACATCAAGCCAGGGAGACTATGTAGTGTACAACTATATATGGTTTTCCACTCTTGTGGAAAGAAGCTTGTCGTGCTTATTGAGGTTCCCATTAGTCAATTGCTAGACATCAACAGGATGCAACCCACAACAGTCAACTAACCCCCAGGTACTTTCAATACATTCAAGAGTTGTCACATTCTTGTACACTTTACTTTAATTATTTTTTATTATTCAATACTTTAATTATTTTTTAAGGAAGCCTAAATTTTTAAGGTTTACTTTAAAAAAAAAGTAATATATTTTTAATGCCTATTATTTTGTATTTCTAAAAATGTAATTTTATATAAAGCCTAATTTTTGTATATAATATACAGTACAAGAGTTCTTACATTCTACAGCCACTAGTACGAGTAGTGTTTCCAGCAAGTCCTTAATCCTATGTTCCCTGGAATATGACCCCCACGAAGAATCATTTTTACAACCAAGTACTCATTTTACTATTGAGTTAAAACAGAGGCTACAGTTAAGGATTTGTGCCCAGTAAATCCTCCCCGGCCAGGATACGAACCCCGGACAAGCGGAATGGGGAGCTTCTTACCACTACGCCACGGAGACTGCATTTAGAATAATTTAGAAAAAGTATCAAAGGAAAATTTTGTATTAAATATTTGTTAATAAATTTCATGACTTACCTTGTACAGAATACCTTAACTCTACTCATAATACAACAATTTTGTTCAAACTTTTTAAGGCTTATTATGTAAATCATACAAGCACAAAAATAATAACCCACTATTCTGAAAACACACGGAAACGTACACGGAATATTTCAGAGAAACGTAGACTGAATATTTCCTAGACCGGGGACCCTCTTCAGCCGGACCGAAATATTCAGTCCACGTTTCTCTGCGTTCTCAAAATAGTGAGTTGTTATTGTCATTGATTAGTGCACCATTGCACTTCATTCTCTTATATAAGCATGTTAAGATTTACCTTATAAACTTTTGTATCACTTTGGAAGAGGTACCTCAGAAGCGGCCCCCATGTTATCTTGTTACTGCTCATGCTCAGCTGACCACTGCTCGGTATGTCTCAAATTCTCTGCAGAAGATGCCAATATAAATGTCACCACTCTAATTGTAAGAGCTAAATTTTTAAGCTTGAACACTTGATTAATTTATTTATTTATATACAAGAAGGTACATTCAGTTTATGAGAGTACATAACATTAAAGGTTTTTACATTCTTGTAAAACGACTTAACACGCATAGCGTTTCGGGCAGGGCCTTAATCTAACAGAAAAATTTAAGTAGGTAATTTCTAGCAAAACTGAAAAAATATTTACAGGTACTTTGTAAGAAATTTTGACAAAGATTAGTAGATACATTAATGTAAAATTTCAGGGTAATCAACAGGTAAATTACAGCATAATGAGGATTATTTAAAGGTATAATGCAATAAATTATAATAAAAAATTCAGCCACAACTGTGATGTTTTGTGTAAGTCAGGTGTGAATTAAGCTTCTGAATCTTGATAATATTGTACATATATTCATATGGGTAAATTAAAGTTTTTCCAATGTACCTGTAACTTTCATAAAGCCACATGTTCAAACATTTTTAAAATATAACAAAGTTCAATAGAAGGTAAAACACAGCCTTTGACAAGCCACCAGTTTCCTGTCCTCGTCGAGGCCACTAGCGTGTTAGTGGCCCTCAGGTAAATTCAGGTAAATATGGACCAAAAGGACCCAGAGTGACCTGCCTGCAGAGACCTCCGTCCAGCATGACCCCATCAGCATGAACCACCGCTCGACACGACCAGCTAACAAGGGCCACCAACCAGTGTGACCTACCCATTGGGACCTACCCATTGGGACCTACCCATGGTGACCTACCCATGGTGACCTACACATGGTGACCTACACATGGTGACCTACACATGGTGATCTACACATGCTGACCTACCCATGGTGACCTAACCATAGGGATCTTCCCATCGGGACGAGCATGACTGCCCTGTAGTGATCATTGACACACCCCTTCACTTAATCCACTTCTAACCCCTTCTTATCTTTGATAAACTCCCTGGTACGTTATTTCTACTTAGTTAAGTCAACGCTGTATACTTTTCCAAAGTTTGTAAACACTTACAAGCACGAGGCAGTCTTCTTGATGGAAACGTGCAGTTTGCATACGAGGCAGTCTCTCACCGTCCGTGTTGACACCCATGTTTTGGTGTGTCAGCTGATCTTGATGCGTGATGCGCGGAGGAGGGGACATAATAAGCCAAGTCCTTCATATAACACCCCACGTTTAAAGATTATCTTTATACACAATATATAGGAAACTAAATTATTTATTTTAATTTGTAATATATTTTATACTATTATAAGATTGGAATTTAACTTTCGTATTAATTTATTGTAAATAATCGGTACTGTGACCATAATATTTGACGCAGCCAAACTACGGTACTGTGCATAGTTTGTCAGTAGCCTTTAAACAAATTAAATTTGAAGGATTTTAAATGTTTTATTTGTCTTTTTTCTAATACAATATATTCACAGCAGAACTCCATGTGTATGTGTTTTGTATCATGAGCGAATTATAATGACACTGCTCGTTGGCGAATACACAGTCTGCAATGTTTCCAAGTGTGCCATCCAGGCATTACAGTCTGCTCGAAAACATGCAAAGAGCTAGTTAATTTTCCCTGTCAAACTGTTTTTTTTACCTGATTTACCTGAGAGCCACTAACCCTAGTGGCTTCGACGAGGACAGAAAGCCGGCGACTTGTCAAAGGTCTCCCCCATTTGCCTTGATTTACCCCCATTTGTCTACCACTACCATTCACTTTGCGTTAATGTTTCCAAAATTTATACATTAATTGTAAGAAAGTATTTTATTATCCTCATTTGCGCTAAACTCTTTAAGTCATTAGTTTTTAAGACACAAATGAAACATGCTTGTGTCCGAAATTAGACAGATACGACACAATTAGTAATTATGGTAAGAGTTCACTACAGGTTGTGCATGTAAGAAATAGCCTAAGCTACTCTATCCCTTTGAGATGTATTTCTTTCTTATCTCAATAAACATACTTGAACTTGAACTTGTGCATGTAAGAGATTAGCGTTCCACCGCCGCCACTGGATGGAAGTGGAGTGCTACCAGAAATTTCAACCAAATATTCCCAGTTTGTTAACTGTAGGTAGTAAAAGTGGGTGTAAAAAAGTGGATAGTAAAACATCTCTTTACATATTATATGAAATTAATTATATGCCCGAAACGCTTTGCGTAATAGTGACTTTAGGCATTGTATGTACTAGCTCTATCTATAAATTCATCAATATTTGTATCACACCCTGTATGTATGTACTTTACCTGAATAATCATTTGAATTTTGAATTTGAATATATAATTTTGCGTACTTTTAATTTACATACATTGACTACAAAGAAAATAAGATAATGGTTCAAATGTATAAATTTATGATGCGCCCCCATTTAGATTACTGTATACAAGCATAAAGACTTCATTTTTAGATCGATATACCTGCTTTAGAGAAGGTGCAACACCGGGCAACAAATGGTCACTGCTTGCATCACAAGCGGGGATGTTTCTGGCGGGGGAGAAAGAAACAATTGCGCAGCGCGTCCCGCGGCGTTGCGCGGGCAATTTGGGGCCCTATAAATACGGGCGCACAATGGGGCTCTGCCTCACTCCGCCTGCCCTCGCCGCTGCCCTCGCAAAACCCCACCCTCCCCCCCTTTGCAAGCGGCTGCTTTTGTACCCCCGTCATGCTTTGCACAGTTGTCCCGATTGTCTCCCCACTGCATGTGGGAAGGGGGGTGCAGCGCCGGTCCCCAAGTGTCCCGCTGTCCGCAGCTAATACTTTGCCCAGTCTAGGTGCTAGTAAGCCCTACTTGTAGTCACACCCCCTTCTCCTTATCCATTAGGTCTTTTACGGCCTCTTGGCCGGGTACATTACGTGTTATGTGGTCTCTCACTCTCAGTTATTCTTTGTGTCCTGCCTGTTATATCCTAGTGTTATATAATTATTACACATTTGCACTCGGCCTTAATTCTAGTACCAGTTAACCTTTAGGTTTCTGCAGAATTAGTTTCCATGTCACTATAGGCTAAGGTCTCATACTTACTACGGGTGTACCTTTTAAGTTAAATCTAGTCCTTGGAATTGTTACTGTTAATTCTTACTTTATATATTTACTTTATATATTTACTTTATATATTTTAATATAAACGTTATATATTCCTTAAATTATATTTGAAACTTTGTATATTTACATGTTCAATATTAAGTTTTATATAATATCAACTTTGTTAAGTCTATAATATAAACCGTGTTTAATATAAACTTTATATAATTACTTACTTTATGTGAACTTTATATATTTACATGTTCTGCAGAATTTAATCTTCAATAAACTTTAACGCCCCATACTGCCAGTATCTTTCTCCCCCTGGTCAGAAAAAGTCATTCCAGAGCTAAGCCATCTCTCGTATCAAGAACGCTTGAAGGCCACAGGGCTAACAGCACTGCAAACCAGGCATGACAGGGGAGGCTCTCATTGAAACTTTAAAAATACTGAACAGGTTGGAGGATGTTGATCCGAACATTTTCTTCAGAAGATCAGACGTATCACAAACAATGAGCAACGGCTTCAAGCTCAACAAGCCACAATGTCGGACTGAGAACAGGAGATGCTTTTTTACCCTCAAGGTTATAAACCCATGGAACCGGCTACCCGCCGAAGCCATAAATGCCAAAACTATGCTAAGTTTGAAAATCTACCTGGAAAAGATCATCAAGGCAATGGGTGGGACCTTCGACAAGCCGCCGCCTTCCTGTCCTCGTCGAGGCCAGTAGTGTTAGTGGCCCTCAGATAAATCAGGTAAATAATTTAATAATTCGGTGTGTATAGTGACAGGCAGCCAGTTTATACATACAGTACATGTTAGGCTTATAGGAAGTTCTTCCCCAGGGTAGAACAACTGACCCTTCCCAGGTTGCAACCCCCACAACAAGCTGATTAACTCCTGGGTGCCTATTTGCTGCTAGGTGAACAGGCCATTAGGTGATAAGAAACGCACCCAACCATTTCTGTCCCGCCCGAGATTCGAACCCGGAATTCTCGATTGTGAGTCGAGAACTAGCCCGACTGCACCACCGGGGCAATATCTCCCATTTGCCAAAAAATGTGTCCATATTATTAGACTACATACTTGTCCATATTATTATGAATTAAATAACGCTATACGTGGCCCGAAACACTATACGTGCTAGTGGCTGTACAAGAATGTAAGAACTCTTGTATGTATATATAAATAAATACAAAATAAACATATATACCTGAACGAAGTTTGCATTGAAGTTACCCCGATAACATACCATAGAAAACGTGATGGAGGCAGGCGACGCCACCACTCGACCAGACACTGTGGATCACAACATTACCACTCGTGCTCTCTGATTGGCAGGAAAAGAACCTCACAAACTGCACGTACCGTAAAGAAGAAGAAGAGGCTTAGCAGGTCTCCCCATTCCACTTGGCAGTTTCCTGTCCAAGCTTCTGAATCTATTCCAGTCCACTTGGCAGGTCTCCAGTTGCACCCTCACAACCCTCTTCATCAGTCAACAACAAAAGCCTTTACGCATAAGGCTTTTTTTACGCATAAGATTTTTTTTTATATAACGAAAGGGCTTATATAGTATTTTTCAATGTAACTTTGTCAATTTTGTTGGTTCACAATCGAAAGGACCCGGGTTCGACTCCTGCGTCAGGAGAAGAGACGTTTGACACATTTTTGGCACCTGATGCCTCTGTTCACCTAGTAGTAAATACGTATGGGGCAAACTTTACTGAATTTTTAATTTAAAGACAATGCAAAAGTCCATTGAAATGCTTATATTTTAGATATAGATTAACCCTGGAGCCTTGTAATGCTTAAGACGAGTAGTTAAGACCAAGCATGATGTCTTCTGTTCCTAAGAAAGTGAAGCTGGACCAGGGAGCAGGTGTAGCCAGTACCACATGCCAAGGAGCAGGTGTAGCCAAAGGTATACCTGATAACCCTGGATCCCCTAGACCAGCAGGCACCACTCCCACATTATTCTTGGTTAGGGAAGGCATACAAAACAAGCGTTTCCAGCTGATGCTAAAGTTTGCTTCCAAAAATGGATTTGACTATGAAGAAACTCTCTCAGAAAGGTGAGCAAGTGTTCCTCTTTGTAGAATCCCAGTGGTAAAGCACTCGCCCTGCGCTTCGCAAGCGATTTGGCCTGGGTTCGTATCCTGGCTGGAGAGGATTGACTGGGGACCAATCCTTAATTGTAGCCTCTGTTCACCCAGCAATGAATGGGGTACCTGGTTGTTAAACGATTTGGCAAGTCATATTCCGGGGAAAATTAAGATTAAGGACTTGCCTGAAACGTTATGTGTGCTAGTGGCTTTACAAGAATATAAGAACTACAGTATTCTATATATAAAAAATAAAATAAATCAAATAAAAAATCAAAGAAGAATGATAATTGTCCTGTTCCATGCATTACTGGAAAATGATTGAAGTAACAGTGTACATAAGATAGTTCACCAACAGATTTTAATTTTTTTTAACATTATCCAACCTAACCTAACCCAACCAAGCCTAAAATAGCCTAATTAATGATAAATACAGTTTTAACTGTCAGAAAACCAGCTTTGTTAAACCATCTTGAGTACGAGTTGACCACACTCCATCCGAAAGCTGACCATATCAAAGAAATTGCAGTTCTTTCCTGAAAGTAATTAAATGAAGAGAATAATGAACCCTTAAGGGTCATTCCATCTCAAATCACCAAAAAAGTCACCTATGGCTCCCACTCGACCCTCTCCAAATGCCATGACATTTTGTAGTAAGATAGCCCTAGACCCCAAATGACACTTTGCAAAATATTAGAGCTCAATCTGCTTTGATTCTTAAATAACAGGTCCGTATTCAATGGGCTCTCGTCCCGTTAATGCGTAAGTGCCACAAAAATGACCAACTTTGACCCTTTGTTAAGTCACTTCTATTGCCTGTAGTAGTGTGAAATTTGACATACCAGGACAATTTTTGGTGTAGAATAACGTAGTGTAATCGAAAAAGCAGTATGGGTGGCCATTCAGCTATCCATCCATGCTAAAATCACTGCCAAATTTTGTCGTGAGAAATTTGGATCCCAATTTGGAGACCATTTACTCATTAGCAAACGGTCTGAACGCCATGATCTTTTGCAATGGTGTATAACAAGCACAATATTATGCAGTGATGCAATAGCAACTCTGTTGTATCCTTATGTCCAGAGGTGGCCCACTTGAAAGTTGGCCAAAAAACATTATGTGCAAAACTAGTCGACTTTCAAGGTAAAATTTCTCAATATGCATCATTCCCAATTTGGTTTTGAATGACACCATTGGATAGAGTAGATTTTTATGTACAAGAGTAACTTTTATTTAGGTTGGGATCTGAATTCCTAGTTCAGCCAGAGGACTCTGAAAATGACATACCGTGGTGCGATATCGAGAAAATGACATTATGATTCTCCATCTTCTTTGTGCACTGATCATGACTTTTTCTTTCCATTCTTTCCGGGACACATTCGACTAAATTCTTCACCCTGAAAAAAACTGTACTACCCTTTCCTTCACTTCCTCAGGAACTGACTTGTCCTGCATTTTCTTAGGAATTGCTAGTATTCCCTGTTCTTCTTTCAGCTTCCTAGCTTTGCGAGCCATGTATTCTGAAACTTTGAATTGCTCCATTGTCTTTTTGATAGACCAGCTTTGTGACACGAGGGTTAGGATTTGTATTTTTTCTTAACGCTTTGCTACATGGAATTTTAGCCTCATTTCTTCAGTGAGTTTATTGATGTCTTGGCAATTTGTGCACTGTTGGCTAGAGCTTGGTACCAACAGGTTTTGGCAGTCAATATTTCCAATTGTAGCAATCTGCTCGGCAATTATTTCCTGTGCTTGGCTAATCTTACGCTTTGCATAACCATGCTTATCCCTTGCACTAACTCGTTGATATTTAATAGGCGAGATGCCTCATACTGATAAACTTGTGTTTACACTTTCACAGATTTCCATACTATCAGCAGAGCCATCAGATTCAGTAGAGCTGGACTCGCTTGTCTGCTTACTGTCGAATTCCTTTCTGCATGATGTGCACAATTTTTGGCCAGACTTAATACTGACTTTTCAGCATATCTGACATTTTCTCTGCAGTAGCTATTGTGATTGGTTGCAAATCTTTTCGCTTTACATGGCATTTCTTCTCTAAGAGATTGCAGCAAGTTTTTTGCAAAAAATTCAAATTCCGTCAACAGCAAAGCTTCATGATGGAGGCATACTTGAGATTCTCCATCCAAGTTCAGTTCACTTCGCTTTGCTATCAGAATTTGATCTTCTGCACTATACTGTTTTAGAAACTTCAAGCCTTTGTTGGGAGTGTAGGTTGTCAAGTGACATTCAGAAGAGCCACGCTCATGGCTAGCAATAGCACATGGCAATAAACTAATGGAATTGAAACCTGTAATACATTAATATTAATATTACTTTTTATTTATTTGTGTATTTATTGCAAGTAAATACACAAATAAGTAAACAGCAATGTTTGACCTGCTGACACGATACTACAAAGATGTAAAGATAAATATAGAACAGGAACCTAAATAGCACTGATTGTTTAATAATAATTCTGAATCCGTCCCAAAAATGTTCTACCCAATGATGCTTAAAAGTTTTCTAATCAGTTTGGATATCAATTTGCTAGCAGTCATGATCAGTGCACAAAGAAGATGGAGAATCATAATTAGATTTTTTTCGATATCACACCAAGGTATGTCATTTTCAGAGTCCTCTGGCTGAACTAGGAATTCAGATCCCAACCTAAATAAAAGTTACTCTTGTACAGAAAAATCTGCTCCATCCAACGGTGTCATTCAAAATCAAATTGGGAATGACACATATTGAGATATTTTGCCTTGAAAGTTGGCTAGTTTTGCACAAAAAAAATTTTGGGCCAACTTTCAAGTGGGCCACCTATGGACATATGGATACAACAGAGTTGCTATTGCATCACTGCATAATATTGCGCTTGTTATACATCGTTGCAAAAGATCATGGCGCTTAGACCTTTTGGTGATTAGTAAATGGCCTCTAAATTGGGGTCCAAATTTCTCATAGCAAAATTTGGCAGTGATTTTAGCATGGATTGGTAGCTGAATGGCTACCCAAACTACTTTTTTTATTACACTGCTGTATTCCGCACTAAAAGTTGTCCTGGTATGCCAAATTTCACACCTCTCTGGGCACTTAAACGTGATTTGATAAAGGGGTCAAAGTTGGCCCTTTTTATGATATGTACGCATTAACAGGATGAGAGCCCATTGAACATGGACCTATTTTTTAAGAACCAAAGCAGATTGAAATTGAAATAAGTTTATTGAGGTAAAATACACACAAAGGGATGAGGTAGCTCAAGCTATTCTCACCCCGTACCAAAGCAGATTGAGCTCTAATATTTTGCACAATTTCATTTGGGGTCTAGGGCTACTTTATTACAAAATTTCATTAGATTTAGAAAGGGTCGAGTGGGAGGCCTTTGGTGAATTCACATGGAATGACCCTTAACTAAGTTGAAGATTGTAAATACTGTATATTTAATGACTATGAGTGCTGCACTCCTTAGAAACAGGATATGTTACCTGAAGACCCACCATTTCTAACGGCTGATGCAGGAACATCAAAATAGTGGCTTGTGAAAGGTTTGCAATTTTTTTTATTATTATTTATATATACAAGGCTTCTTGCATTGTTTTAAAGCCACTAGCACTCATAGCATTTTGGGCACATCTCTCATCTTAATTTTCCCCGGAATATGACCCGCCAAATCGTTTAACAACCAGGTACCCATTCACTGCTGGGTGTACAGAGGTGTACAGCCTCTGTACGCCCCACATCAGTTGTGTTGTATGTCATCCTCACTCTCAGACTCTGTAGACATAGTAGAAGTTTACTCCATTTCCTTGATAAGCTGCCCGAAACGCTTTGCGTAATAGTGGCTTTAGGCATTGTATGTACTAGCTCTATCTATAAATCCATCAACTTTTGTATCTCACCTTGTATGTATGTACTTTACCTGAATAAATATTTGTATTTTGTATTATATTTTATTTAGAGTACTAGTTCGCTATAGTGGTTAGCACAAGATCACAATCTCCAGGAGTACTCTCGACGCACATCCATCTGTCACAGCAACTGGGATAAGACTGATTTGTGCCAATATTGTCATTTCCAGGGTGACACACATGCTCTCAGATCTTGGAGATATGAAGCAGTTACTTCGTCTGTATCCCTTGCTGTCCTCACAGTACCACATTAAAGTAGTCTCTACCCAGTGGCTCTACAGCTCGGTTAGGTGAGAGGTAAACCTCATACGTTATATTGTATATGTTGAAACTTTAAAGGATTTTTCTGATTTGTTAAGTAAAAGTTGATGCTTACTCTGTACCAAAAATGTTTGAGGAAGACTGCTTTGTTCACCCCATTCCATGTGTGATAGTGATGATAATCCCTTCAGTATTACTGAATTGTAGCTATTAAGTCCTTTTTGTTATGCATTTAGATAATTTTGCTTTATGTAAAATATGGTAATTTATGTTTTTTAATCATTTTTGTTTAGACAGCAATCTCTTGTACCTGAAGAAGAGTTTATCATACCAGGATATTTTGAATGGCAGGCCCAGAGGAAGCAAGAGGCATTTAGGACCTCCACTATGCAAAAGATGTCTAATATCCATGAAGTGCACTCTCCCTTGGATAATCACTTGCCATATGCTTGTGATAAATCCCTAGTGACTGATTTTCATAATGACATCAAAACTACTCCATTGCCAGGTAACTTCTATAAATTACTATTTTTAATGTTAATTATACAGCTGTTTTTACCCACGTTTCTTTTCAATACTGTAATTTTTTTTAAAGCATCATATAACAGAGTATTGGGAAGATGGGACACCATGAGAGTAGCTCTCATCCTATAACTACACTTAGGTAATTACGCCAGGTGTGCATGACTGGTATCACTGATTGGAACCTGGGCTGCCGGGTCTGCCATATGGTGGCTCCAGGAGGTGTAACGAGATAACTACAGTACTATACTGTGGGCCTGGTTGATGGTTGTTAATGTTTTCTTTACTGTTGTGTGTGTGTGTTTTGAAACACACTACCTTTGTGATGGTGCTGTGTTTCCTCTTGACCTGAGCTGATCTAGTATGCACTACCTCCCCTGTGCCTTTATTGAATGGCCCAAATTCTGGTTTGCAGTAGGCTGTTAAGACTTGCAAGAAGCCGGCAGCATATTGAGGGTCCCCTCCATATATGTGTATAAATATGGGCCAGTAATATAGTTTTTAGCTCCCTGCAGCTAGCTCCAGGGAGCCATCAAGGAGTCCCCTCCCAGAAATATTCACTTTTGAGCCCCAAATCGACCCATGATGGCAATTAAAAATGATCTACTGTGACAAAAGGGTTAACTGGTACTAGTCAAGATGTACGTAAGAACTACCTTATTGTTGTGTTGCCACTAGGCAGAAATTGTGGGATTATGTGGATCTTCTGGTTCTTATTTTTGAAAGGTTGCATTTCCTTTGATGTTATATGTGACACCACTGGAAGCTGTTTATGTAGGGTTTGAGAAGTTTAATGTACATGCCCTTGTTGCATCAGTGTTGTATGCATCCTTCTTGACTCTTCTGTGAAGTTCATAAAGTGCACAGGATCACTGTACCGTTGGGTGGGATAGCATCAATTTCCTCAGAAAATGACTTTAAACAATCTGAAAGCATAATTTGCTTTATAAAATGTTAATTTAATAATAAATAATAAATAAATAAATGTTTATTTAGGTAAGGTACATACATAAAGAGATTTTACAAAGTTTGTTGGATTAATAAACAGAGCTAGTACATACAATGCCTAAAGCCACTATTACGCAAAGCGTTTCGGGCAGGGTAGGTAGACCAGTACTGTATTAATTATTATTTTAGGTAGTAAATAGATAGCTCTCAAATTTGTCTTGGTACAGTGTGTGTGTGTAATTACCTAAGTGTAATTACCTAAGTGTAGTTACAGGATGAGAGCTACGCTCGTGGTGTCCCGTCTTCCCAGCACACTTTGTCATATAACGCTTTGAAACTACTGACGGTCTTGGCCTCCACCACCTTCTCACTTAACTTGTTCCAACCGTCTACCACTCTATTTGCGAAGGTGAATTTTCTTATATTTCTTCGGCATCTGTGTTTAGCTAGTTTAAATCTATGACCTCTTGTTCTTGAAGTTCCAGGTCTCAGGAAATCTTCCCTGTCGATTTTATCAATTCCTGTTAATATTTTGTACGTAGTGATCATATCACCTCTTTTTCTTCTGTCTTCTAGTTTTGACATATTTAATGCCTCTAACCTCTCCTCGTAGCTCTTGCCCTTCAGTTCTGGGAGCCACTTAGTAGCATGTCTTTGCACCTTTTCCAGTTTGTTGATGTGCTTCTTGAGATATGGGCACCACACAACCGCTGCATATTCTAGCTTTGGCCTAACAAAAGTCATGAACAATTTCTTTAGTATATCACCATCCATGTATTTAAATGCAATTCTGAAGTTAGAAAGCATAGCATAGGCTCCTTGCACAATATTCTTTATGTGGTCCTCAGGTGATAGTTTTCTATCTAGAACCACCCCTAGATCTCTTTCTTTATCAGAATTCTTTAAAGATTTCTCACATAATGTATAGGTTGTGTGGGGTCTATGTTCTCCTATTCCACATTCCATAACATGACATTTATTAACATTAAATTCCATTTGCCAAGTGGTGCTCCATATACTTATTTTGTCCAGGTCTTCTTGAAGGGCATGACAATCATCTAAATTTCTTATCCTTCCTATTATCTTAGCATCATCAGCAAACATGTTCATATAATTCTGTATACCAACTGGTAGATCATTTATGTAGACAATAAACATCACTGGTGCAAGAAGTGAACCCTGTGGTACTCCACTTGTGACATTTCTCCATTCCGATACATTGCCTCTGATTACTGCCCTCATTTTTCTATCAGTCAGAAAATTTTTCATCCATGTTAGAAGCTTACCTGTCACTCCTCCAATATTTTCCAGTTTCCAAAACAACCTCTTATGTGGAACTCTGTCGAAAGCCTTTTTTAGGTCCAGATAGATGCAGTCAACCCAACCATCTCTTTCCTGTAATACAGTGGAACCTCTATTAACGAGTTTAATCCGTTCTGGCACCGAGCTCGTTACCTGGAAAACTCGTCTTTGGAAACAAATTTCCCCATTTAAAATAAAGGAAATAAATTTAATCCGTTCCACTCCCAAAAACATCCATACTTGTATGACTTTTTTTTATGTAAATATAATACTGCACATGTAAATATAAATGTTTTGTTGTAGTGTTTTAATATTTACTTTACCTTATGAAGAGTAGTTGCTGGCTTGAGGGAGACGATGGAGAGGTGGGAAGGAGGAGAGGGGTTATGGTGTGGAAGGAGAATCCACCTCTGAGTCAGGCGCTCTCTCTCTTCTTGGGAATTTCACCCAAATTTCATTTCAAATGTCACACAAGGATGCGTTAGACCAGCACCAAATAAAAAACTACGTTGATTATACTCGTTGTGTCAACAATATAATAGTCTTACCAAGAAGATACAATACAATGCCGTTTTCTCAAATAGGCAATGTGGTTATTAAAGAAAATGGAAATTTCATGGCAAACATGTATACAATCCCCAAGTCGATCGGATAAGAATTGGATTTTAAAGAAATATTTGCTCAAATGACGCTTGAGCACAATGTTTGGGTGCATTCAAGATAAAAAAAGTGTGTTACGTTCAAGCGACATATACCTGCGAAAGTGATAACACTTTCATAAAGTGTTATCACAAAGTGATAAATTAATTAAACATTTTCACACACTGGGTTGTCACTGCTTTATCAGGGCAGCTTTTCCAAGAATGCGTTCACCTTTTCAAACATTCCAAACACTTCCCTGATCTCAGTGGAAGAGGCAGCATCCTCCCTTACCTCCTCATTCCCTTACTAATGGTGTAAATTGTTGATGAGGACCTGCCATACTTCCTTGTGAGATCAATCACACAGACACCACACTCATGCTTTGCTATAATTTCCTTCTTGAAATCCATAATAATTGTCTTTCTTCCTCTTGAAAACACTATCTTTAGCAAGCAGCTTCTTTGGAGGCATCGTGTGTTACAAATTGTAGTCGCAAAACCACTAAAAACCCAAAGAAAAGCTCAAATAAATCCAGAGGGATGCTTGTCGTGTGAGATACAACAACAACACTGGCGTCGGAGGCGTCCGAGAATTTGCGAGAACCCGCGAGACGCTAGGAAGCGCCATGTGGTTTCACTCGTTAATAGAGGCGAGCTCGTCAATAGAGACAAATTTGCTGCGAGTGGCTTGCTCGTTACTGGAAAAACTCGTTAATAGAGCCACTCGTTAATAGAGGTTCCACTGTATCTCTGTGGCTCGATCATAGAAACTGAGTAAATTCGATACACAGGATCTTCCAGATTGAAAACCATACTGTCTGTCTGATATTATATTATTTCTCTCCAGGTGTTCTACCCATTTAGTTTTGATTAGTTTTTCCAATACTTTCACTATTACACTTGTCAATGATACAGGTCTATAATTGAGGGGGTCTTCCCTGCTGCCACTTTTGTAGATTGGAACTATGTTAGCCTGTTTCCACACGTCTGCTACGATTCCTGTACACAGGGATGCCTGAAAGATCAGGTGAAGTGGAATGCTGAGCTCAGATGCACATTCTTTCAGAACCCATGGTGAAATGCCATCTGGGCCAGCTGCTTTGTTCTGAGTTCCTTTAGCATATTTTCCAGTTCATCTCTAGACACCTCTATCCGCTCTATGTTGTTCTCTGGAATTCTTATTGTGTCTGGTTCTCTGAAGATTTCATTTTGTACAAACACACTTTGGAACTTTTCATTTAATGCTTCACACATTTCCTTTTCATTTTCCGTGAATCTGTTTCCCATTTTCAACCTCTGGATATTATCCTTTACCAGCAATTTGTTGTTTATGAATTTGTAGAATAGGCCCGGTTCTGTTTTACATTTATCCGCTATCCCTTTTTCAAAATTTCTTTCTGCCTCTCTCCTTACTGCCGTATAGTTGTTTCTCGCATCTTTGTATCGCTGGTATGTTTCGGGGTTTGGCCTCTTCCTATACTGATTCCATACTGTGTGTGTGTGTGTGTGTATGTCTGTATGTGTGTGTGTGTGTGTGTGTGTATATATATATATATATATATATATATATATATATATATATATATATATATATATATATATATATATATATATATATATTATTATTATTAAATATGACCGAAAAATTAAGATTAATAATTCTAACACGAATTTTCTCAATATTTCTTATGTTTCTTTTCACTGCCGATGGTAATTGAAAAATCAATTCTCCAAAATTCATTTTTATTTTTAGTATGACGCAACACTTGAATGCGTTTCGTAATAACTTATTACATTTTCAAAGACTTTAGTTTACACACACACAACTATAACCTGCAAACACTAAACAGAGTTCTACTATGCTATAATTTAAACAGCTTTCATCTTATATACCCGCATTTGGGTGAGGTGATATGTTACAACAGTTTTGGATGAGGTGAACAAAACTTTCAACACAGGACAGAACACGAAACAATGGGTATAAATTGGGTAAATTAAAGGAAAGAATGGAAGTAACTGCAAAGGGCCTATTGGCCCATATTTCTTGATGCTTCTATATTGGAGCGGAGTCTTGAAGTGGGTAGAATATAGTTGTGCATTAATTGGCTGTTGATTGCTGGTGTTGACTTCTTGATGTATAGTGCCTCGCAGATGTCAAGCCGCCTGCTAGACGGGTACCAGGTACCTATTTACTGCTAGGTAACAGGGGCATCAGGGTGAAAGAAACTTTTCGCCCATTTGTCTCCGCCTCCACTGGGGATCAAACCCTGAACCTCAGGACTATGAAGCGCTGTCCACTCAGCTGTCAGGCGCCCATATAAGGTGGAAGTCACTATTGAGGCTTTGGTCCTCCATCAACAGTCCATGGATCACACGTAGCACCAAACACAGCCTGTGCACATATAATCAACCACATTTCCATTTCCCTTTGGAAAGGGAAATGCCAAAGAGGAGTTAGTGAGGCTATCACCTTTTTAGAGATGGACATTGCTAATTGAATATAGAATTTGTAGATTACAGATTTGATATAAAATAAAAAAATTATTGTTCTAAAATGTACAGGGTGCCAAGATTAATAACTTATATGAATCAAATCTGTTATAGTGGAGATAAAATTTGACAAGAATCACTTCAATAGCAATATCCTGGAGAGAGATGCCCCTTTGAACCACTGTAATCCAAAACTTGTGGTAAGCTTATAGATGTTGTTTTTCTTTGTCACTATACTGTACTGTGCTTGAAAATCATGAGGCTCTGTGATACTTGCATTATTTGATGAGAAATAGTCCATTATGTTTGCTTGTGTTGTACAATACATGTAATTTTGTTTTTTAGGAACCACTGATGTTTTTAAGTGATTACTGGCTTGTAATGGGAGATGAGCGGAGGGCTTTAGCATATGCCAAGGCAGCCGCTACTATCAAGTGTCTGCCTTTTCCTGTTATCAGGATGGAACAGGTAAAATTGATAGTGCACAATAAATAGTTCATTTGGAATTTAATATAATTACTACACTACTGAATTAATAAAGTTCTCTCTATTTATATGAAATTTTCTGGGGAGAGCCTCTACGGCTCCCCGGAGCTTACTAGGCTGATATGCTAATGTCAGACTTTGGCATCAGTCATGTGTATGGAGTTCTTATGAGCCTACCAGGGACCACGAGCCAGAACCTGGCCCCCTCTAGAGAGGCAAGGGGAGCAATGGCCTATAGAAACCCCTGTGTAATTTGAAGCATTCTATGTCTGCCATTGACCATGTTAGGCACCCAGAAAGGTAGGCGTCCCAAAACAAACCCCTATTCTGGTGAAAATTGCAACCAAAAGCCGAACAAGTGCATAGAACTCCCCAAATAAAAACGAGCAAACTAGTATGACCAGCACCCCAACCACTGCTTTCTGAAGCCCATAAGCAATCCACCTGGGATTGCCCCATTGCCTACCAAGAAGCTGCAACATTACTAGAAGCTGTGACAACACCACATGATACTGCCCGCCTTGTAGCTGTAGCAGCCCCCACATGCAGGGGACTTTCTATTAGCAACCCCAATGTCAGCAACAGGCACTCGTCTCACACCGCAGGCCCTCTGAATTGCTGTGGCTCTCCGCCTTGCTGCCCCAATCCACACCGAATACAGGTGTATTTGAGGCAAGGCAGTGGCCGACAGGTACGGACAGCATGGCCTTCTCTGCCAAAGGACAGGAGGATGGCATGTAAGACACGGCGAGGTTAACGACATTATCAAGAGAAGCCTTACCATGGCCAGTTGTCCAGCAGAGAGAGAGCCCCGTTACCTAATGCCCGGCAGCTCTGATGAGCCTGTCGGTCGCCCAGACGGGATCATGGTGAACCCCTGTAAGAATGGTAGACAGTTGGTGTGGGACTACACTTGCGTTTCAACCTTAGCCAACACCTATGTTAACTTCAGTGCTGCACAGGCAGGAGGTGCTGCCAATCACCGGGAAGCAGCCAAGTCACGTAAATACGGAGACCTTGATCACCACTACAATTTTGTCCCCATTGCCTCAGAGACACTTGGAGCCTGGGGTAAAAGTGCTGCAAGGTTTTTGAAGGAACTGGGGTCCAAGCTAATTGAAACAACTAGCGACCCTAGAGCCACCAGTTTTCTCTTTCAGCGCCTTAGTGTGGCAATTCAGAGAGGAAGTGCTCACTGCATCCACGGTTCCTGCCCGCCATCTGAGGAGCTGTACAACTTGTGACAAGCAGTCTTGTACCTTGCATGTAACCAATGTTGTAACCCTTTTTGTGTAATGAATTTTTAAAATAAAGTTAGATATATATACACACACTCACTAAAAGAATAGAGGTAGTAGGGGAAGAAAATATCAAAGTGTTCAGTGAGGATCCACAAGGTCTTCTCTGAGTACTCATTATTTTCTTCTCCGAGGTTATGGGTCCCTACACTTGCACCAGAGGTGGTACCCCGTTTAGGTGTGTGTGTGTGTGTGTGTGTGTATATACAGTATCCACTCAATTTAACGGCCTATATGGGGCTGTACCCTAGTCGTTATTTCCGGAGCTCCGTTATTTCCGAAGTTAAGTCGGGTCGGGTAATTTTTCAAGTAACATTCAGGTAGGATATATTTTATACTGTATAACTAAAATTAAATAAAGTTCATTGTGTAATTGCATTCCAATTTAGTGCCACACCGACGATTAAGCCAGTTGTTGGCTGCTGCATGGATGATGTGTGAACACGGTCTGATCAAGCCCAGATGGGTGGGAAAAAATTGATTCATTCCTTTGTATTGCAAAATATTTCATGTATCAATCAGCAAGTTAATATTTTCTCAATAATATTTTAGAGATGTGTTTTGATTTACCCTGAACAGTGCAGGTAATGTATTTTTAATGTTACAACACACGCTGTGGCGGCCATGCCATAACAATGGCGATCGAGCCTTGTCACTGAGAGCTAGCCAAGACGAAATATTTTGAGCTCACCTATTCTCTGCTGATGATAGAATATACATTTGCAGAGACTAATATGTAGCTTTTGTTGAAAAAAAACAATTAATATCTTGTAATACTATAATAAAATTGGTAAATTGACTTGCTTTTAATGAAGCTGAAGATTACGAAGCTGTGAAGATTACGTCATCCTCTGCAGCGCTTGTTTTATATTGTTTATATTGTATACAGGGTACATACTGTATGTACACTTATTTTAAGGCATATTTTAATAGAGTATCCTTCTGTTTCTTGATGTCACTTACTGTACTTTTCCCGATGTTAAACTGCTGCTGCTCGTGCATGAGAATATCCTTTATCAAGTTTCTTAATTAACTCCAGCTTCTGTGCAACCGTCAGGCACTTCCTTTGGGTAACTTTTGGCATTTTGTAAATTAAAAAGAAGATCACAATTACAGTACAGTAATATCCTTCACAATTGAAGCTAGCCGCGCGAGTTCACAGTAAACACTGGGAACACATGGCCCGGCGGAGTACATTCTAGGTCCGTGGGAAGAAAAATACCTAGTGCCTATACTATAAAAGGTATTTATTAAGAAAACAAAGACTTTTGCTTAATAAAAACTGTTTCAAAATATTTTATTAATAATAATTTAAAATTTTCTTCATTAAAGTGAATCATTTTAAAAGAAAATTAAGATGTAATATATGACTCTGGACAATCCAGGTCGGTAACCTGGTCGCCATGTGAGGGGACGCTGATGCCACAACAAACCCAATACCGACCGTCGGTAATATCGACCGCAGACCGGTATAGCAGGCTCCAGATACCGGTCTCCCAAACCGGTCGTTAATACCGGCAGATCGGTATAAAAGAGGCCGTTAAATTGAGTGGATACTGTGTATATATATGTGTATATATATGTGTGTGTATATATATATATATATATATATATATATATATATATATATATATATATATATATATATATATATATATACACATACCAGTTGCATTGCTTCTGGGAGTATGGGTTCGAGTCACTTCTGGGGTGTGAGTTTTCAGTTGCATATTGTGCTGGGGACCATTCAGGCTTGTTCGCATTTGTGTTCCTCACGTGTGCCCCAAAGAATGAGGTGATTTGGTAAAATGCTATGCCCAAGATTACTATCCGAGTGCCGGCGGTGGGGTGGTTCAAATAGCTTAGGCTATCACCTCATTATGTCCGGTCGTGATGGTCAAGTGGATTAAGGCGTCTTGTACATACCAGTTGCGTTGCTTCTGGGAGTATGGGTTCGAGTCACTTCTGGGGTGTGAGTTTTCAGTTGCATATTGTCCTGGGGACCATTCAGGCTTGTTCGCATATATATATATATATATATATATATATATATATATATATATATATATATATATATATATATATATATATATATATATATATATATATATATATATATGTACACACACACACACACACACACACACACACACACACACACAGCTTCCTAAGGGAAATACCTTGGGACACAGTCTTCAGAGCTAAGTCTGTACAAGATATGATGGACTATGTCACCCAAAAGTGTCAGGAGGCAGTAGGCAGATACATCCCGGCCCAAAAGGAAAAATCCGAGAAACAAAAGAAGAATCCATGGTATAATAGGGCATGTATGGAAGCAAAGAAACTGAACAAAAGGGCATGGAGGAACTTCCGGAATAACAGAACACCAGAAAGCAGAGAGAGATACCAGAGAACCAGGAATGAGTATGTCAGGGTGAGAAGAGAAGCAGAGAAAAGTTATGAAAATGATATAGCAAACAAAGCCAAGACCGAACCAAAGCTACTCCACAGTCACATCAGAAGGAAAACAACAGTGAAAGAACAGGTAGTGAAACTTAGAACAGGCGAGGATAGGAATACAGAGAATGACAAAGAGGTGTGTGATGAACTCAACAAGAGGTTCCAAGAGGTCTTCACAACAGAACAAGGTGAGGTCACTGTGCTAGGAGAAAGGGACGTAAACCAGGCGGCCTTGGAAGAGTTTGAAATTACGAGAGAGGAGGTCAAGAGACACCTGCTGGATCTGGATGTTAGAAAGGCTGTTGGTCCAGACGGGATCTCGCCATGGGTACTGAAAGAGTGTGCAGAGGCACTTTGCTTGCCATTCTCCATAGTGTATAGTAGGTCACTGGAGATAGGAGACCTACCAGAAATATGAAAGACGGCAAATGTGGTCCCAATATACAAAAAGGACGACAGGCAAGAGGCACTGAACTACAGGCCAGTATCCTTGACTTGTATACCATGCAAGGTGATGGAGAAGATCGTGAGAAAAAGCCTGGTAGCACATCTGGAGAGAAGGGACTTTGTGACAAATTGACAACATGGGTTCAGGGAGGGTAAATCTTGAATGACTGGCTTAATAGAATTCTATGACCAGGTGACACAGATTAAGCAAGAAAGAGAGGGCTGGGCAGACTGCATTTTCTTGGATTGTCGGAAAGCCTTTGACACAGTACCGCATAAGAGGCTGGTACATAAGCTGGAGAGACAGGCAGGTGTAGCTGGTAAGGTGCTCCAGTGGATAAGGGAGTACCTAAGCAATAGAAAGCAGAGAGTTACGGTGAGGGGTGAGACCTCTGATTGGCGTGAAGTCACCAGTGGAGTCCCACAGGGCTCTGTACTCGGTCCTATCTTGTTTCTGATATATGTAAATGATCTCCCGGAGGGTATAGATTCATTTCTCTCAATGTTTGCGGATGATGCCAAAATTATGAGAAGGATTAAGACAGAAGAGGACTGTTTGAGGCTTCAAGAAGACCTAGACAAACTGAAGGAATGGTCGAACAAGTGGTTATTAGAGTTCAACCCAACCAAATGTAATGTAATGAAGATAGGTGTAGGGAGCAGGAGGCCAAATACAAGGTATCATCTGGGAGAGGAAATCCTTCAGGAGTCAGAGAAAGAAAAAGACTTGGGAGTTGATATCACGCCAGACCTGTCTCCTGTAGCATATATCAAGAGGATAACATCAGCGGCATATGCCAGGCTGGCCAACATACGAACGGCATTCAGAAATTTGTGTAAAGAATCATTCAGAACTTTGTATACCACATATGTCAGGCCAATTCTGGAGTATGCAGCCCCAGCATGGTGTCCATATCTAGTCAAGGATAAGACTAAACTGGAAAAGGTTCAAAGATTTGCCACCAGACTAGTACCTGAGCTGAGAGGTATGAGCTACGAGGAGAGACTGCGGGAATTGAAC